CCATTTTGCAATCGTCGAGGATTTGACGAGGTGCTTTCGTTGGTCTCACGAGGAAGAGTTCGACTCTTTAGAAAACAAATATAAGATTTCTCAAACACAATTACTTTTTTGCAGCACAGAAATTAATTTTTCAGCTTAACCTAGCAGCTTACCGTTTTTGTAGTTTGAGTTGCGCCAAGAGCATCATCAAAATCGCTGAGGATGTTCTCCAATGAATCGCTGAAAAGAGGTAGGATTTATGGCAGTTGTCCTGGGCAAAGCTGTTCAAAGTTCTAATGGATTCCACATTTAGAATAATTATATCCTTGCAAAATCCGCGTTGTTTCTCGAAAGTACCACAAAATTTTCAAAAATTTAATGCTTGCAGCAAAAAATGCTAAAAAACTTTGAAGGGGTGTGGCCTATTCAACATACCTAAATATACTATCCAACGGACTCATTAGCCTGTCGCCATGCTTACGACTTAGTGTAGGCGTACGATTTTGTCCACCTTTACGGACATCTTCAGCGTATGCAACAAAATCGACGTCTATATGAAACCCGTACGGACAGCAACGGCATTTCTCGGCACCGTGCTGTCGCGTTGTCATGGCGTGCTCGATTTTTCTGGAAAAAAACGATACTACATGGAGATGTGAATTCATAGATTCTACAGATAAGCGTGGACAAATCTATGCGACTAAGTATAAATACAACCGAGGCGATAACAAAAGCAAGAAAAGAGGAAAGCGAGATGAATGAGGTTCATAAATCAATCGATAAATAATCGATCAGTAATAATTGTTATTTTGAATAACGAATAAATGCATTTGAAATTGCCGTTTTTTTCCTAGCGTATAGCAATGACAGAGTCACTTGCAAATAGATTTCTAACAAAAATTTGCTTTTAGGCGCTTTTACAATGAATTTTCCCTTTATCGTCGAATTTAGAATAAAAATCTTAAAGAGTACAGTCTTAGTTTTACTTACTTTCAGATGTTTGTTGGCGGAAGAAATAGGCTACGTGTAGCGAGAACTCATTTCAAAAAAGCATGAAATGCCTTTATAACAAAAAGCAATCTCTTTTAGAAATGGGGCAATGATCGTACTAAAAAAAGGAAACGTTATCAATAAGTTTAGCATTTCGCTGTATAAAAAGTAGTAAACGATGCGCTTTAATTACCGATCGATAATCGATTAGTCGCTTCGAGCAAGTGCGACCCAGCGAACCACCATTGGTCGGAACTTAAACAGTATTTTTGGATTTGACGGTGACACTTCACTCGTTCCTC